GGGGTGCCCCCCCTCCCCCCCAAAATACCCCCCCAAAATAAAAACAACAACAACAACAAAAGCGGAGGGTGGGTGAGCATAATCCCAGGCAACGGGGGCTGTTCGGATTTCACAGGCTTCCCTCAGTGCATCCCCCCTGCCCCCCCCCACCCGCGCCCCCCATTCCCCCTGCCGGAGGGTCAAAGCCATGTGTGATGGCTGGAAATTGGCGACTTCAAAACGGCGGTAGCCCCGCTGGAGTCGGGAGGGTCAAGTTCAGCGGCGGCGGCGGGCAGGGGGAGCAGCCCCCCGGCGCGGAGGCGGGGAGGGGAGCGGCGGCGGCCCCGGGCTGGTGCGGCTCTGCTCTGCCCTCCCCTCCGCGCCGCTCCGCGCCTTATCTCCGCGGCCGCCGGTTCCCCGGCACCGGGGCGCTCGGGGGGAGGGGAAGGGAGACGCGGGGGGTGGAAGTAGAAGACGAGCACAGAGGGTTCGCATCCGATGGGCTGCAGTCGCACAGTCCTGCCGCTCCTGCCGCTGCTGGAAGTTTTAATGGGGATCATGACAAGCGGGGCACAGAGACACCATCATGAGGAGTAGTAAGTTTGGGAAAAACTTTTTTTTTTTTTTTTCTTTTTTTTCCTCTTTGAATTTTTTTTTTTCCTTCCTATTTTTCCTCTCCTTTCCCTGGGACACACCGGGAGAGGCCGAGTGCGGACCGGTGCTGCTCCGGGAGGTGGGCTTGTGATCCCTCCCGGTCACACCGGCGTAACAGGCGACATAGTGGTGGTGGTGATTTTTTTTTTGTTTAGTTTTTTTTTTTTTTTTTTTTTTTCAAATCACAGGCAGCGAGACGTAAAACTTTTCCCTCTTAAAGGCGAAGCCCCACTGCCAGCGCTGCGTCCCCGCTCCCGGCTCTCCCTGCCTGCCATAACTTCGTGGAGCGTCTCACCTCCCCGCCCCCCGGCCCGGGGGCTGCGGCGGGGGCTGTCCCCGCTGCAGCCACCCGCGTGTGGCTTTCCGAAGGGAGGAATGAATGGAGGCGAGGCCGGGGCTGGAGGGGCTGCGCGGCGGTGGGCGCTCCGCGGCCGGAGCAGCCGGCGTGGCCCGGGCCGGGCCGGGGGCGGTCGGTCGCGGGTCCGGGGCGGCGCAGGGTCTGGCCCGGGGACTGCGGCCGCTGCGCTGTCCTGGGACGAAAGCGGTTCCCCGAGGGGGCTTGACATTTCGGGGTCTTTGTTTATCGGCCTCTCTGCTGAAAATCACAGCGCTCAGACACCCCGGCACTCCTACGCGGGTTCTAGTGGGGCCCGCTAGTCTTTATCTTTTTTTGTCCACGACCGGTTGTGTTTTCTATCTGCAAATGGCAAACTTCTCCAGGGCACTGACTGAGCTAAGCTAACTAAGTGATAAGCTGGGGAGACGTCTCCCCTCCATCACTTGTTCTCTGCCAGTACGAGCACCTTGCCTGGCAGAACAGCAGCCGGGTCACCCCAGCACCCTTTGGGAACCAAGGCGTCAAGTCCCTTCCGAGGGGGAAAGATTATCTAGTAAAGAAAATGTAAGCTCTTCTGCAGACTATGCTGCCCTCACTTCTTTTACAGTATGCAGCGCATTTTGAATGTTGATGGAAAGAGACAATAATTTAATGCGTCTCAGGTTATATTTAAAAGTAAAGTCTCTCAATGAATCATCAAACTTTTTTGTCATTTGGGCTGTCGCCTTCAAGGGAATCCTATGGATGTTAGTGGCATCATGTTACTTTCCTGTTGGTTTTAGTAGAAGTTGAACATTTAGAGAAGACTGCCAGAGTTAAAAATGCAAGGGGCAGTAAAGGAAAGTAGTGGTAAAAGCCAGTTCCTGACGTGGACAAAATGAGAATAAAAGTTACAGCAGTCTTCTGAACTGCAGTCTGTGTTTGCCTCTTGTTCACAATCTGTGTGTTAGGTTAGACAGCTCTCTCAGATATTCCACCAGAGTGACATTTTAAAAAAAACCTCCAAAAGAGTGAAGGTTGTTTTTTTTTTTTTTTTTTAAGTACTCTGGGTCTATGAGTAAACACACGGTTTGTTTGAGAACATCAGCTATTTCCTGTAAATTGTGATGCTGACAAGACTGTCTGGAAATTATATCAACACTTTGAAAGATTTTTTTCTTTTTATTTTAACCACTGAATGAAAGTATTTTAATAATATGGTCAAACCAAACAAGTGGAACCTTTCTCTGTAAAGGGGAGAAAAAAGTATTTTTCTTTTTTCCTCTTGAATAATGTATACCTGCCTGAGGTTTGCCACAAAGAATCAGTGATTCTGAAGTTTAGTAGTGCATCAGTGCCTGTATACAAGTTTAACCTCAGATTGTGACAACAGGAGTCTACTTCACCTTTTTAAAATCAAGGGACGTTAGACATGAGAAAAACAGTCAGTTCTTACTTCACCCTGTTCTGTCTGATTATAGCTTTTTTTTTGGTTTTTTTTAATTTGTTTTTTTTTTGTTGCATATAATAACTTTCTCTGTTTAAAACTTTGCATATACATAGTCACAACAAAGTAAGTAAAGGGCAAAGTTGCATCATCTTTTAAGTTTACATGTATTGCCTGTGATCCTCTAAAACAGACTCCAAATAACACTAAGCAGTCTTTGCCTGTGAGAGTATGGCTTTTCTTTTTTTTATTTCATAGCCCTGTTAATAAAGGAAAAGAATGTAAATGAGAACTTCACAGATCTGAGACTTCTTTGGGCATCAAACACGATGCAGCCAGGTTATCCTTTCATGTTTTTAATGCATTTTTAGTATAATTTATATGGTAGCTTTATGGGTTGACTTACATTTTTATCAGTGAGCATAAATTCAGTAGCATTTGATGAATCCCTAGCAGGATTATTTTCTATAATGTCTTCTCTAGCATTTGAAGTAAACTTTCACGGTGTGCACTATTATCATGCATGCTCTGGCTGAGTGTAAAGAATGCTTTTATCTACATATTGTGATAGTGCATTTGTAACAGCGAAGTGCTAATTTTTGTCTGTGGAGTCTGTGACATGCAATTGTTTCTTGTCAAATCTGTGTATTCCAATCATATTACATTTTAATGCTAGTTGACACATTGGGTTTTATATTTTCAAAGAATTGTGCAAACAATGACTAATTACTTTCTGTTCATGCGAATTACCTCTTTTAGCACTTTATCAGGCAGTTGCTTTGAAATAAAACTATTTTACATTACAGTGTGAAAGAGTTAAAAAAATTAGCAGAGACATTTAGGAAAAAACCCAAAATGTAATTACAACCAGGCAACTTTTGGTACGTATTTAAATTTTTCTTTTTATGTGGAACTTTCCTTCTAAGGCTGGGGGGCCTGTATATGTATGAATATTTATGTTTCTTACAAACTCTTGACAATATTTTAATGTAATAATCTTAATAGAAACATTCTCAGATCTTAACTGAAGCCACACTGGCAGTATCGCTTTAATAAAGGTTTGTGGGTAACACCAAATATAACATTGTGAGAAGGTTTATGGTTAAATGTTTTTGGACATGATAGGCTGAGAATCTGACAACCCTTTTTGTTAGGTGAAAGTATAGTGGAAGTAAATTACATTTTTAATACAGTTTCAGGTATAACAAACTGCCATCTGGTAGTGAAAGTATTGGCCTTGAACAGAAATATATTCTGATTAAGGTATTCTAACTGGTGTGTAAAATGAAGCCATTCATTCAGTAAACTGACAACTTTCCAGTGTGTATTTGCCCTTCCTTAATTTAGTTTCCTCAACACAACTAGTGAGGTAGTCCGGGTCTGTTTTTGGCAGTTCTGGGCAACTGTAAACTTGGATATATTTTTCCCAAATATTATACCTCTTGAGTTAAAAAACAATTGGTTAAAAAGAATAGCAGGCAGGTATGAGAAAAAAAGAAAAGTGTTTCTTTTTTGTTTCTGAAACTTTCTCAAGTTCTTACCTAGTAAGAAAACAATGCTATTTTCAAATACTGGTGATTAATACTATAACCAGTGATGTCTGCACCCATTTATTGTATAAATACCATTGCCTGTTGACCTTTGGATACATTAATTACAGCATATCTGGTCTAGGTTCTATTATTTTTGTCTGTCCAGAAGATAAATAAAGGTGCCCTTTCCAGTCCTTCTGGAGAAGAACTTTTTTCTTGATATTGTCATGAATTATGGAGTTCTTTTTTCCTGCCCTGTGCCAATGAAGTTCTCTTTTGACTTTAAAAGATAAGCTTGCATCCAAAGAGAGAATATTTGATTATTTTAAAACTATTTGTGCTTCACTTTTTACGGTACGTACAAAGTTTCTGGGCTTTTCTTTTTTTTGGATTGTGTGTTTGCTAATTAAAAGAAAAGCACAGTGAGTTATATTAGATGATGTGAAGGATTAAAGTACAATTACACCATTAAATAGTAAATGTTTACAAGGGTAAGACATGCAACTACATTTTTCAGATTATGCTTGTTATTCACTCCCTGATGTTATTTTGCACCTAATCAATAAAGGGCCTTCCAGAACGCAGCTCCTTCGCCAGTTGTATATGTGCCCAGAACACAAGAAACGCTGCTGGGGCAGAGGAGCACAGGGAGGGGAGGAAAGTGCTGGCGTATTACTCTGACTTCTTGTCATGCAGACCAAGGCTCAAATGAAACACGGAGCAATGGGAGGATAGCTCCCCTAGTCTCGATTTAAATCCCCAGTGGACATTTTGTCACACACCAAAAGCGTTGCAAAACCGAACACCATTCCACTTGATGTGTCGTCCAGAGTCAGAGGAACCTCTGACTTGGCATCACGGGGTTTAGAAGACTATGATTTAGGTGAACTGGCACAGCTGTATGTAAGAAACTTATAGCCATTATGTTTTATTCATGTTCTGTGCTATCAGATTCTTATTTTCTAGTACCTTTA